CACTCAGTGATGCTGACTCTGGGGCAAAAAGGAATCGGTTTTCCACTTGAAACGTCCTGGAATAGGATCCCTGTGCCAGGGATGCCAGCCCACCCGCCCAAGGGTGGTGGTGCCTTTGGAGTGCCCTGTTCCCTGCTCAGTGCTGCAGTGCCGTGGCACATTCTCAGAGCCTCTGGAGAGCTGTCAGCTGCAATGAATGCAGAACAAAACTCATCCAATGTTCTGAAATCGCCTGGAAGATTAATGCAAGGATCTTTGTGCTTGGCTCTCCTCATCCACGGGAGCGCTCGGCGTGCTGGGGATGGACGGATTAATGCATTAATAAATAAATAAAAAATAAATAAATAAACACAGCACAGGAGGGGAAGGAAAAAAAACCCAGGGACGACTGCACAGCAGGCAATTAACCTTTGAAATCCAAGCTGTGCTGCTGCTAATGAACAGCACCCTGGAAGCTCTGAATTCCCAGCCACGTCCCAGGTGGAGCTGGCTCTGAACCCTGCGGATGTCCCGGGCAGGATCCGACTGCTCCCAAGGCCTGCAGTGCCAAGGAAACACTTCCCATCAGCAGCTGCCCCATCTCCTGCCACCAAGGGGCTGTGCTGCCCTAGAAAAGCTCTGCAGAGCAGTTCTGGCATCTCCTCACTCCCCAGGAGCCTGGAACAGGACCCCGGGAGGGTTTGGAAGGAGGGTTTGGAATAGGTGTTAGGGAGAGATCCTCCCCTGGGAGGGTGGGCAGGCCCTGGCACGGATTCCCAAAGAATCTGGCTGCACTGGGGGTGTCCAAGGCCAGGCTGGATGAGGTTTGGAGCAGCCTGGGATGGTGGAAGGTGTCCCTGCCATGGCAGGGGGGGAATGAGATGCTGGTATTCCAAATTCCTTCCAACCCAAACCATTCCATGATTCCACATCTCCACCCAAACTCTGGGCCCTAAAGGGGGTGCTGCCACTTAGCCAAGAGCAGCCAGGTGAGCAGACCGGTGGGAATTTCACATTCCCATAAAAACACAGACTGAAATCCTGAGGGGCCTTGGACGTGGCCAGGGCTCTCTTTGTCTGGAGGCTGCGGCAGCACAACCTCAGCTCCTCCCGATCTCTGCTCCCTCTGAAAGGACAGGATCCAGGGAATGGGATGGAATTGTCCCACAGGAGGGTTAGGTTGGATTTGAGGGAAAGGTTCTTCCCCAGAGGGTGCTGAGGCTCCCCAGGGAATGGGCACAGCCCCAAGGCTGCCAGAGCTGCAGGAGGGTTTGGACATCACCCCAGGGATGCCCAGGGTGGGGTTGTTGGGGGGTCTGTGCAGGGCTGGATGATCCCTGTGGGTCCCTCCTGGCTCAGGGTGTTCTGTGATTCCAAGGACAAGGAAGTCCCAGGAGCCCGGTGGGTTTTGCCTCCAGCCTGGCACCTTCCAGGCAGGATTCCCTCATCCACAGGAGCTGGACAATGATGCTCCACTGCCTCAAGAGGGCTCCGTCAGACTTCTCTGCAGAGCTCTGCCGCGTCCCAGCATCAGAGGAGGAACAGCGGGACCAGCCCTGCTCCATCTCCCCCCAGAGCCCCTCACCCTTCCCACACACAGCGCCGATGCTTTGGCTCCGATCAGCTCCAATAAAAATAGATTTCCTGTGTCCATCTATCTGCAGAACCACTGGGGACTACGGAGAAGTTGGGAGGAAAAAAAAAAAAAAAAGGCAAGAAGCCATGAATAAATTTTATAAAAGGGATTGGGCATTTCCCTATGGACACTGAGGATTGGGATGGGTTTCCCTGCGGTTGCTGCTCTGGTTTGTTCGCAGTTTGATCCAACCGGAAAACGGCCTAAAAAAAGTGGTCAAAGTCAAGGGCAGAGAAGCTGCTGAAGCTCTTTCACTCTGAATAAATGGTGGGAAGGGCTGGTGGGACAGGTTTCCTAGAGAAGTTGTGGATGTCCCATCCCTGGACATGTCCAAGGCCAAGTTGGATAGGGAACAACCTGGAGCAGTGGAAGGTGTCCCTGCCCATGGCAAAGTGGATGAACTTTAAAATTCCAAACCATTCCAGGATTCTGTGGTTGTGTTTTGCAGGGATCCAGCAGAACCCTTCCCATCCTGCCACCAGCAGAGCACAGGTTTCCCTAGATTCCCTAAAAACTGCTCTTGGAGCAACATGGAACAGCTTGGTGGGAGCAAGGAAATCACAGGAGAGCCACAGAGCAGCTCCTAAATCCTTTTAAAGTGGGGAATGGCTTCCAGATTTGGGAGGATGGAGAAGACAAAAACGGCAACACCCACACCCAGTTCCAGCCTGGAGAAGCTCAGAATTCCCTGGGAGCAGAAAGCTGTGACCCCACTGCTGTGTGTAGTAGAAATAATTCACACTGTTTCTACGATGATAGATGTGATATTGAATATTTGTTGGGACTCCCCCCACCCAATTGACATGTGAAAGGATGAGGCTGGCCAGGAGATGGGGATGGGCCATGGCTGGAGAGATGCGGGGACACCCAGGAGCTGATCATGGTGTGAGCGACCCGAGATGGAGATCATGGACCCGAGATGGATACCACGGACCTGAGATGCATACCATGGACCTGAGATGGATACCATGGACCTGGGATGGATATCATGGACCTGGGATGGATATCATGGACCTGAGATGGATACCATGGACCTGAGATGGATACCATGGGCCTGAGATGGATACCATGGACCTGAGATGATGGATATCATGGACCTGAGATGGACACTGAGGATACCATGGACCTGAGATGATGGATATCATGGAAATCCTGGGCAGATCCATGTGAATGCAGCGTTCCCATAAATTTCATCAAGGGATTCAACAACTCCACACACTGAATTGTTCTTAATCACCAAAAAAGAAAATCTTATTAACCTATGGACTCTGAATGGAAGAAAAGACTGACTGCCGAAATCTTGGCCTCAGGTGGAATTTTCCCTATAAAAACCGAATTTTCCCTATAAAAACCACTCGTGCCAGGCTGGAGGTGTGTGGGCATGGAGGGAAACCTCTGCTGAGGCTGAATTCTGGTGCCGACCCCGGGCTCGGCTCTGTTCTTGCCTTGTGGCTGGCTAGATAGAATTTGATTGCAAAAGAAATATTTTATTTTTTCATATTAATCTGGACAAATTCTCATTTATAACACCACTGTTTCTCCTGTCAGGCTGATGACTCCAAAGGGAGCCATTCCCTGTCCCTCCACCCCAACACCACGCTGTGGCTCCGGGACACTGTGCCCAAACACCTCCTCCTGCCCTCCACACGGAGCAGCCCCACCCCGAGCCTCGCAGCCAATTCTCACACGAGGGGGGCTCCCAAATCCCCCCGCTTTGCCCACAGAAGCCGCAGAGTTCTGTGCCAAAATCCAGAGCAGTTTCCTGTTGGATTTGGACAGTGCCTCAGCCCCTGGGATGCGGCTGGCAGGAGAAGTTCTGTGTGAGGTGTCACCAAGCTGGGCTCTGACACTCCACACCTCATTATCCCAATGTCCCAGGCACGTGGGAGAAATTTTCCAGGTTTCACTTCCATTTTCCTCCCTTTTTATTGGGCAGTGCCTGCGAGCAGAGCTGGCAGGAATCTGCCACTCCGCAGCCAAAAAAGCTTCGGAATCTTTATTGCCATTGGCTTTGAGACGCCCTAAAGCCAAGCTTTTACAAGGTAAAATCCAATAAAAGGCAGCCAGCTACAGCTCTCCTTTGTTAGCAGCGAGGCTGTAATTATCCCGGTTCGCCTTTATGGGACTGACTGGGGACACACTCCATGTGATCCCTGGATTTTCTCCTGCTGCCTGCCTCAGGTTTTCCCCAAGCTCCCATCACAGCAAAATCCAAGGGCTGACAAAGCTGTATCTGCCTGACAAAAGAGTATCCATGCAGAAACGAGGGATGAATGGCCTATTCAGAAGGCACTGACAAGGTGTATTTCCCAATTTTAGAACTTCTTGTGGAACAGCGAAGCAGGATTCAACAGGGAGCTGACAGGGACAGCTCAATCTCTGCTGGATTTGGACACTTTGCTGTAATTCTGATTTGTTGTTGCGTGGCTGAGGTTGTTTTAGCTGAGTCCTGTTTTTTTTTTTTTTTTTTTTTTAAAGAAAATAAGTCTTAACCTAAAACAGGGGAGGTTAAAGCACAGAAGTGCAGAGAAAATGAAGTAGCAGCACTCCAGAGGGTTTTTTGTCATGGTCCTGAGCAGTGCTTAATCCTGGGAAATGATGGAGAAGGAGCTGCAGAGCCTCTTGTGCTGCCTTTGGGTGGATTATGCTGCTCTGCCTTTCCTCCTCATTGCCAAAGAGACAGACCACAGAAGAGAGGAGGAGCAGCTTCAAAAATAACCCTGACCTAGTCATGACCCTGCAGGGAAGGTTTTGGGGAAGCACTGGATGCCTTTGATCCCAGAAAAAAAAGATCCTGGTGACGCGAGAAATTCCCGAGCATGCCTCGAGAAAACAGTGGAAAATCTCCAATTTTTCCAAGCAAGAAAAGCCCAGAAGAAGAGAACTTCACCAGGGTGACCAAGTGGAGACGCTCTCCTGTCTAAGCTCCCTCTCCCATGGCACTGCCCTCCCTCCAAAAACTTCAACAAAGTCCTACGAGAGCAAATTAAAGGGTTTGGAGCCTTCAGGGACACCCTAATTTCTTTTTCTTTGTTGCTTTTAGAATTGCCTGATAGTTTAAGTCTTATTTGAAGGTCCAGATCAAAGAAGAAATTTCTGCCTGGGTTATCTCCAGCACAACCGTCAGACCAAAGGTATTTCCACCGCAAATATTCCTACTTATATGAATAATTCCCAGCCAGCGAGCAGCCAGGCTCTGAGCAGACACATCCAACACACACATCTCAGACCCGCACCCCAAAGGCTTCTCCCGTTCCTCACGGGAACATCTTCAGCCCCATTTCCAACCATGAAAATCCTCGTTCCTCCTGGAATCACCTTAGAGCCACCCCAAGCCACCCCTCCAGGAGCACCCAAACCCCGAGGAGCCCCCGAGGCCGCTCACCTGCTCGTGGTACTCGATGCCCATGCTGAGGGTGTTGATGAGGATGGCGATCATGATCCCGCGGTTGAAGTATTTGCTCTCCACAATCCTCTTGAGTTTGGTGCCGAACGCCTTCCAGAGCTTCACCACCTTGTTCCTCTCCTTGGCTTTCTTCTTCTTCCTCCTCCTCCTGCCCCGCTGCTGCTGCAGCTGGTCCCGGTGGTCCCCGTGCCGCAGGTCCTGCGTGAACTCGTAGACGCCGTTGCTGTCGGAGTCGCCGTTGCTGTCGGAGTCGCTGAGGGCGAACTCGGGGTCGTCCAGGAGGCTGGCGCAGAAGGGACAGTCCTGCAGCTCGCAGCTCAGCCCCGGGCCACCAGCGCTGGGCAGAGCCCCGGCCGCGCTCAGCCCCGACAGCCGGCTGGGCGTCCGGCGGAGAGCTGCGGGGACAAGGGCACCGTGAGAC